GACTCCGGACGTGGATCTTTTGGTGTCTTGCTGCACCAGGATGTTTCTGAGGTTTGTGCCAAAAGTGAGGGACCCCTGGCAGATGCAACAGATGAGCTGGTGGTGCTGTGGGATTAGTATAGTTTCTCAAGCTCTTTTTTTTCATCTGCTTCGCAGAATAGAAGCCGAAGGGATCCGGTCTTTCTAGTAGCCCAGATTGGCCTCGTTGATGCTGGTACACGGTCATGGTGTGGCTAACCCTTAGGAAGATATTTTGCCCTAAGGACCAATCTTCCTTCCTGCCTTACCTGTCCTGTCTGATTTTGACAATTTAAGCTAGGTTCTGAGAGACTAGGGTCGTTGGTTTTGTTTATATCACCTGGTGTGAGCCTCTTGGTATATAGTATATATATATATATATATATATATATATATATATATTAGAAACCAATTAGTAAGTAAATGTTACAATGTAATAAAGCAACTTCTCAGTAAAGTGATGCTAAATGCTCATGCCATCAACATATAAGTATTAGTTTATATATATATATATATATATATATATATATATCACCCCTCAAAATTTCCACTCAGCTGCTCGCATTTGGTGAGTGGAAATAATGTGAGGGCAAGCAGTTACAAGCTTCCAGCTGCTTCATTGATAGCCATACAGGGAAATTTGTGCTTGTAACTGTTCCCACCGTTGCACTGATCATCCCTGACTGTCCATCGGATTTTCCTTTCTTTCTGGGCCCCCCTATGTGCTTCTCAGTGCCCAGCCCCTTCCCCCATCCTCCTCACCAACAGGAGAGGAGAGAGGCTAGATCTACTCTGCTTCCCCCTGTGCCCGCCCACATTCCAGTCTATGCAGCTTCTGAGAAGGGGATGATGTTCCTTCCTTCCCTCCCTTCCTTCCTTCCTTCCTTCCTTCCTTCCTTCCTTCCTTTTTCTTCCTCCCCTCCCTTCCTTCCTTCCTTCCTTCTTTCCTTCCTTCCCCCCCTTCTTTCCTTCCTCCCCCCTCCCTTCCTTCATTTCCTCCCCTTCCCTTCCTTTCCCTTCTTTCTTTCCATCTTTCCTTCCTAGAGTCCACACTCCTCTTCCTGCACATACTACCCACCGCCATACACTCCATACCCCTTTCCCTGCACCGCTGACCTCCGCACTGTGTGTCATTTTGTTTCCCTATTGATATAAAGCACTTATTTTCCTTTTATGTTATCATTTATTTTAATATTGTTAAAGTTGTTGTTGTTAATATTAATTTTGTACCTTTGTTCTGAAGAAAAGATATAACAGTGTCATAGCATGAGATAATTTATGAGGGTGTGTTTAGGGACGGAATTAGGGGTGGGGCAGAGTGGAAGTTGGGTGGGGAAACTGGTGGCAAGTAACTCTTAAGGCCTGGCTAGAAATTTTGAGACTTGTATACGGTAAGCACATATATATATATAAAATATATATATATATACAGTACATATGTTGCTTTTGCTTATTCATTGCATGGCCATAGCAGGTGGTTCAGATGAATGTGTAGCATTAACCACTTGCCTACAGGCCACTTTTACCCCCTTCCTGCCCAGGCCAATTTTCACCTTTCAGCAGTATTGCACTTAAGTGACAATTGAGTGATCATCATGCAACTCTGTGCCCATAGGAAATTTTTATAATTTTTTTCACACAAATAGAAATTTCTTTTGGTGGTATTTAATCACCACTGGGGTTTTTATGTTATGTACTATAAATAAAAAAATACTGAAACTTTTGAAAAAAAAAAATCATTTTTCTTAGTTTCAGCTATAAAATTTTACAAATAAATAACCTTTCTATACTAATTTAGGCCAAAATGTATTATGCTACATTTCTTTGGTGAAAATAACCCAAATCAGTGTTTATTTTTAGTTGGTAAGAAAGTTATAGACTCCACAAACTATTATATCTCATTTCTTGAGGTGCAAAAACACCAGGACAAGGGGCGGACTGACCATTTGGAAACTCTGGCGCTGCCCGGGGTCAGTAGGGGGCCCCATTAAATGCCCCTGGTACCTTTTTCATAGGCTTTTTTTGAGTTTGGGCAAGGACACAGGGGCCCCATGATCCCCTATTGCCGGGGGCCCCATGAGTTGTCAGTCCGCCCCTGACCAGGACAGTATAAATACTACCCAAATTACTGCTTTTCAGAAAGTAGACAGTCTGAGGTATTTAGTAATAGGCATGGCAAGTTTTTTGTTTAAGTTTTTCAGTAATTTTTTGTCATAATTTTGTGAATATCATATCATATCATATAACTGGTGCAGCAGTGATCAAAGACACTGACTGGCAACAGTATGTCCCTTCCTTCCATCCTGCCCTTCCATTCTTCCTCCCCTTTCTCCCCTCCCCTCTCCTCTCCTCTCCTCTCCTCTCCTTTCCTTTCCTTTCCTTTCCTACAAGCACCGATCTCCCTGTATGGCTTTCATTGAAGCAGCTGGAAGCCACATCTCCTCCTCTCCTTCCTGTAGCTTTCAGCTTTCGGCCATACAGGGAGACCGGTGCTTGTAACTTCCCCCACTGCTGCAACTTCCACCTATCCACTTTACCAACCGCTCCAATTCCGCCACCCCCCTCTGCCAATCCCTCCACTGGCTTCTGATTGCCCAACGGATCAAATTCAAACTGCTAACACTAACGTACAAAGCTGTCCATAATTCTGCCCAAACTACATCACCGACCAAATATCCAAATACCACCCAAAACGCACTCTCCGCTCATCACAAGACCTCCTTTTCTCTAGTTCCCTGATCTCCTCCTCCCATGCCTGCCTCCAGGACTTCTCTGGAACTCCCTACCCCAATCCATCAGACTATCACCCGCTCTCCTCTCCTTTAGGCGCACCCTAAAAACCCACCTCTTCAGGGAAGCCTACCCCACCCTCTGCTAACTGCCGATCTCCTCCACTCTTCCTACCACTCCATCCCCCACAGCTTTTCCTCCCGTACCACTATCCCCTCCCTCCTAGAATGTAAGCTCCAAGGAGCAGGGCCCTCGAACCCCTCGTGTTTCGTACTGTATTGTTATTGTACTGTCTCAAGTATTGTCCCCCATTGTAATGTACAGCGCTGTATAATAATAATAATAATAATCCCAAGTCCCAGCTCACTTGCCCCCACGTTATTTCCACTTGCCAAATGCGAGCAGGTGACTGGAAATTTTGAGGGCTGATATATATATATATATATATATATATATATATATATATATATATATATATATATATATATATATGCAGCTTTACAATGGAATCAAAGTAACTTATGTAGAAATAATGAAAAAATTACTCAATATAATTCTAGGACTAGATTACTGATTTCATACAGTACTTGTATGTGTAAAACTCCACATTTTATGTGTTTTATTAGGAACCCTGAAAAAGGTCTGTTGGAGGAGAGGATGGCCAAAAAAGTTGGAGGGGCTTTTAAACTAGTGAGCCGGGGGATTGCAGAGGAAGTGATAGTCAGCAGTGAGCAAAAGTCAGAGGGTGCTATAACCATAGTACTTAAACCCTGGGTAGGTGGGTTGGCAAAACAAAAATACAGCCATAGTAAAAATAAGAAGGAAATAACATGTGCCTGCTTAAAGCTGAGAGGCATGTATACAAAATGCCAGGAGCTTAGCTAACAAAATGGAAGAACTGCAGCTGCTGATACACGAGGAGGATTTCCACTTTGTGGGAATATCAGAAACTTGGTTTGACAGCTCATTTGACCAGCTTGCAACTGTCCAAGGGTATTCCTTGTATCAGAAGGACAGGGAGGGTAGAAGAGTTGGAGGGGTATGCTTGTATATCAAGAATGATTTCCTAATGAATGTGAGGGACGATATTGCAAATAGGAAAAGTTGTAGTTGAGCTTCAAAGAGAAAAAACTAGTTTGAAAATAATAGTGAGAGTATGCTATGGACCCCCTAACCTAAAGGATGAGGAGGAGTTGGGTTGGATTTCCTATCACAATCAGAAATGGCAGTGAGCCAGGACAATGTCATTATAATGGGGGACTTTATTCAGACATTGACTGGGTTGAAGGAACAGCTCATTTATCTAAGGCTCATCATTTCTCAAAACGTCTTACAGGAAAACTTCATGTGCCAATTTGTGGATGCCCCGACGACCAGAAATATTGCATTACTAGATCTATTAAATACAGATAACATGTATCTCGCCACAGACGTGGAAATAGAAGACAGCTTGGGATCCAGTGATCACAGGATAACTACATTCAGTGTAAATCATAGGATAAGGAGGCACATGGGTAGTACAAGTACACTGAATTTCAAAACAGCCAACTTTTCGAAACTGCGCTCAATACTACAAGATATTAACCACTAGCCTACAGGGCACTTATACCCCCTTCCTGCCCAGGCCAATTTCCAGCTTTCAGCACTTTCACACTTTGAATGACAATTGCGCGGTCATGCAACACTGTACCCATATGAAATTTTTATCATTTTTTTGTGACAGATAGAGCTTTCTTTTGGCGGTATTTAATCACCTCTGGGTTTTTCATTTTTTCTTAAACAAACCAAAAACCAATTAAAATTTTGGAAAAAAAAACATTTTTTTCTTAGTTTTTTTGTTATAAAATTTTGTAAATAAGTGATTTTTCTCCTTCACTGATATGCACTAATGAGGCTACAGTGGTGGGCACTGATAGGCTGCACTGATGGACACTGATAGGTGGCACTGATGGGCACTGATGAGGAGGCACTGGTAGGTGGCACTGATGGGCATTGACAGGCATCACTGATGTGCACTGAAAGGCAGCACTGATACATGGCACTGATAGGCGGCACTGACTGGCACTGATAGGCGGCACTGACTGGCACTGATAGGTGGCACTGATTGGCAGCACTGATAGACGGCACTGATGCGCACTGATAGGCAGCACTGACTGGCACTGATAGGCGGCACTGACTGGCACTGATAGGTGGCACTGATTGGCAGCACTGATAGGTGGTACTGATTGGCATTGATAGGTGGCACTAACTGGCACTGATGGGTGACACTGAAAGGCAGCTCAGATGGGCACTGATATGTGGCATTGATGTGCACTGGTAGGCACTGATATGTGGCATTGATGTGGCACTGATGGGCACTGGCACGAGGCACTGATGAGCACTGACATAAGGCACTGATGGACACTGACAGGTGGCACTGCTGGGGCTACACTGATGATCAGGGCACACTGATCATCAGTGCCCTGATGACCAGTGTACATGTCCCCTCCGCAGAAAGCCGATTACCGGCTCTCCTCTCCTCTTGAGCTGTCAGCGTGACAGCTCAAGAGGAGAGAAATGCAGATAACCGGCATTTCCCTGTTTACATGTGATTAGCTGTGATTGAACACAGCTGAACACATGACCGAGCCGATATCTTCGGCTCTTTCCGTGGATCGGTGATCCGCTGTGTCCGAGGGACACATTGCACCGCCAATCGCCGCGCTGCACGCTCCCTGAGCCGCGCATGTGCTGTGAGAATGGGAGGACGTCATATGACGTCCTACCAGAACAAGAGAACCACCTTGCACCGTCATTGGACTGTATAGCGGGCGGGAGGTGGTTAAATGGGTTAAAATCTTAGAAGCATTGAACACTGAGGAAAAATGGGAGTACTTTAGGAACATATTAAATAAAGGTATCATCCACTGTATTCCAATGGGCAATACATAGAAAAGAGCAAAGGTTAAGCCTGGGTGGTTAAACTGTAATCATTAGTAACGTTTCATAGAATGTACCCTTGTGGCTAACAGAAGACAGTGTTTATAAAAGTCTTGAAAAGCTTAATGCAAATAAATCAACGGGTCCAGATGGCTTGCACCTGAGAGTCCTCAAAAAACTCCTGTTATTCCTAATTTTCATGGACAGCATACTGACAGGAATGGTACCAGTTGATTGGTGAAGTGTCAACGTGGTTCCAATATTTTAAAAAGGCAGAGATATACCTGGGAACTATAAGTCAGTCAGTCTAACATCGATAGTATGTAAACTTTTGGAGCGGATGATAAGGGACCATATCCAAAAATTTGCTGAGAAAAATAATATCATTAGTAGTAATCAGCATGGCTTTACGAAGGGTCATTCTTGCCAAACCAACCTGTTAACATTCTACAAGGAAGTGAGCTGCCATCTAGCCCTCATTGATGGGTCAAATTTTTAAACTGGGTCCGGAGGGGATGGACCATAGGGTTTGTAAAATGGGTAAAAAAATGGTTACAGGGGCCCCATCCAAAGGGTAGTTCCCTAAATAGATTTACCAGACTGGACTGGGTTGGAAGTGGGGGTTTCCCCAAGGCTTTTTTTTCTGGGGGCCCAAATTTTGGTTAAATTTTTTTTTTAAATTTATTTTAAAAGGTTTGGGATAAAATCAACTGAGTTTTGCGATGATTCCCAAAAAAAAGTGGGCAAAAACTGTGAGGGGGCGAAACGAAAATAGGCCCAAACCCGGAAATTTGAGCGGGAATTTTTGGAAATTTTTGATTCGTGTCGAAAAACCCAAATTTTTCCTACTTCCGGGGGCGCAATCAAAAATTTCCCCATCAGCCGGCAAAATTCCCTGCATTAGCTCCCCCTATTTCTGACAGTTTTCGACAGAAGGGGAAAAACTTTTTAGCGGGTTTAAACATTGTTATC